GGCTTAAATCAATGTAGAATCAACAGCAGCACTTATCCTAAAGGCGTGTTTGAAGGCCTGAGCGTGGAAAGCTCTCAGGACATTGTATTATCACCACAAGCCAAACCAGCAAGAATTCATGGGGATTTGTTGTGGAACACCTCCAGTCCTGATCCTGACCAATGGTGAGATGAACTCTGCTGCAAAGCCACATCTACCCTGTCACTGCAGCAGAGCCCAGCCAGTATTACAGGCGCTGTCCTTCCAAAAAGGATTATTAAGAACACAACCAGTGTCCAGGAAAATAAGGACTACAAACAACATCTGTTTATTTAAACCAAAGATAGTCCCACATTCTCCAAAGGTACTATTTTTTTCATTGATCACAATTAAATCGTGGGAAGCTTCTGAACAGCTGGGACTTCTAGTGCTATAGTTCCTGCAAGGAAATAGAGGAACTGTCCACAACTCCTCAGTGGAACTGTAACAACATCCCACTTTGTTGGATATGCTGACCCTGGCAGCCACTGGTGGGCTCAGCACCACTTAATTACCTTCCTGTTACTCAGAAGAGTAATCCCCATGTCACGCATCAAAATCCAGCCCCAGAGGGTCTCCACTTTGGTCTCCCTATCTCCTAGCTAACATGACCTTTCCAAGAGACAGTAAGTACAGCAAGAGACAAGCCTATAGGTGGCACTCTTGCCCTGACACAACACTGAAGGACCACGAAGCGCTGGTCCTCCTTACCCTTAGAGGAGGCCCATTTCAGTGAAGAAACCCATTAAAAGCATTAATTCCACAAAGCACGTTTAATGAACATTTTTGCTTTTATTGTCCATACACTTAAAACCGGAAACCTGTGTTCAAAACAACTGCTTTTGAGAATACTGAAATACAAAATATTTCACACAGAAGTTTGTTATTGGAACACAAACAGAAGTGAGACATAGAATATGCTGATGTGTATTATATGTGCTCCAAGTCACAAGTTTAAGAACTGTACCACTACAGAATTGTCACACAGGTTTGGAACGTGAGCATTTGACTGTTTTAAAGTATCACCTCTGCACTTCTAGTATTACACATTTACTTGGAAACTTCTAGCAGTGGACAGAGAACATGGTAATTTTGACTTCAAGGTTTGTTTTGAAAGCACCATGACAACAGACTGTTCAAACTATTTCCTTACAGAGAGAAGTCTAAACAGAGAATTATTGCAGTTACGGCTTTTTACTGGTAAGGTTTATTATCTTTGACAGGTTTGTGAATATACAATAACAAGCAAATCAGTATTTCGTGGTAGTTCCTTTGAGAAAGCAAAACAAGCATTGCCCATTTTAAATTTGTTCTTTTTGTACTACAGAAAGCAAACTTATATTCTATACAAAATCCACGTGCTTGGCTAGGCACTGACCAGCTTTCCCTTCTTCAAGATTCTGTAAAACTAAACTAACTCAAACAGGCAAAACTTCTTTATTGGTTAGCAGCAAAGAAGTTCTGCCAGCTTTGCACAATAAATAAAGAGATTTCTGCTTACTTTAAATTTATTTTCAAAGGGTGACATGACTAAATGAGTTGTATCAGACAGTGACACACGCATCACACTCCATCACCAAGACCCTAAGCTTAGTCAGAAGGGGAAAGAGGAATGAAGCAAAGGGAAAGGAATGTCTGTTCCAAAACAGTCAAAAGATTTATGCTGCACTTTGCTTTTCTCTTACAGATCTCAAGGAAGTTTTCTAAAGCTACCTCAAGGTTACTTCTCACACAAGCATCTCGGTTCAAAATGCAATTCTGAACAGTATCTTTTCCTGAAAAACTGACACATCCCTGCAGTCTGACACAACGATATTCCTGGCTTGTAACAACACATATTCATCACTCTCCTCATCGCTTGCTTGATCGCTTTTCGTGCTTATCCTTTGTGTGCTGGTTCCTGTTTTGGTGCCTTGGAGGAGAGTAGCTGACTCTCCTTCTGGACTGAAAGCTGGGTGTGTATGGGTGAATTCTGCGTTTCTTTGGTTTTTCTTCTCTCCTGCTTTTGGTTGGCTCAGGCTCTTTACTGTCTTCCTTTTCCTCACGTTCTTGGTCTTGTTCTTTTTGAGACGGCAATGTGTTTTTGATGGTATTAATAAGAAATCTTTTATTTGTACCAGCAAGAGGACATTTCAACCTGTAAAAACATTTAAAAGTGATCAAAAGACAAGAAAAAACCATCATGAAATGAGTTTGAGATTTTAACTTCAATATTTTTAAGACAGGTTTGTGCTTTTGGCTTTCCTTGCATGCCACCTAGTGTAAACTCTCAGTACAGAAAGATATGCTCAAGGTAGTCTCCATTCTCCTTTTATCTTACCCTTTATAGGATGAAAATTATTCTACTTCAACACAGTAAAATCCACATGAATTTCACAAGGCTGTGTGTGCAGGGGGAAGCAGAGGATGGCGATATATTTTAAGGTTGATGGTGCTTAACTTAGATATTCAGGAATCAAATATTTAATATCATATTCTAAGTCAAATTGGAATGGTTTATAAGATCATAATCTACTAAAGTCAGCATTATCTAACAAATTGAGATATTCAGAAAGTAAGAGATATACTTGCATTAAGAACCCAAACAGCTGTAGCAATAAAACATATATATAAGGCATAAAAATTTTAACTTGTATCTGGCAACCACCAACTGTTTTATTTCTTTTGCTTGAACAGAAAAGATACTTAGCCAACTATTTTCCAGTGTTTCCAGCTTTTGCACATGGTTTATCATCTATTTCCAGCAAACAAGTATGGTACATTTCATTTATCTTGTTGGTATCAGCTGTAATTATTCCAAATTCATAATCTCTTAAAGAACGGAATGAGAAAACACAAGTTTGAAGATATTCCTGCGGTAAGCAGAAATCACTCTGAAGACTTTGTTTTTGGTGGGAGGCACTGTGGTGTTTGTCTTCACAAGAGTTTTTAGTTTTGGAGAAGTTACAGATCACTCTAAAAAAGCAGAGCAGTCTGAGATCACAGTGCCACTTACTGGATCCACTATGGAGTCAACGAATCCTAACACCACAATGTTAGGATCATCTATTCTACCTGAATATTCTGTTTTAGTGTAGAAACTATATCATGACCATTTAAAAACCTTTGACACCTCCAAATAATCAGAGGTATCAGAACAACAAGAAAAGAGTAACAAAGATCACACCTGATTATTCCACATACTTCATGACTTTTAACTGACATGGCATTTACAGTGGGATTTTGCTTCAGGTCTGCCTACTAAGTATTACTGATAAGTTCTTTAAGGATTTAGGACTACAACAATCATGAGAGTAATTTTAGAAGTATACATTAAGCAGCCACACTGTCTTATTTCCACTAGGTATGCCCTGACACATTGCCACAGCATAGCTAGTTTTAGAGTCTTCTAAGCTTTCTGCATATAAATTGACACTGGTTTACTCCAATCCTAGTTAAAAAAACAAAACAAAACCAAACCCCAACCACTAAAAAATTTCTAGATCCGCATCTAGGATAGCTGTTTTGTAAATCAGGGAGACAGTATTTATCCATTAACTGTATCGCTGAGTAAAAATACAAGACTAACATACGGCAGTAGAACAGGCTTTCTACTTCAAGCTACACCACCTATGAACATGGTGCTGAACATGCCATGGCACAGGTTACGCTCAAGACATACCACAAAACAGCCAACATTTAGGTCCTCCATGTGTCTTATGCCAACATTTAACTGTTGTACCTCAACATTTCCTACGAAGGAGGGCAGCTTTCCCTAGGCTGCACACAGGCAAAGACTATTTCACATTTGTCCCCTTCCTCTTGCTTTTTCTTAAGAGCTAATGCATTGATTAAGCACTAAATATACAGCACCAGAATGAGACAATCTGCCCTAAATAAATTCACCTTGCTGAAGTATTTATTTCTTTTTGGCACTATGAGTGCTGCCTGAGCTATATTAAGAATGAAAACTGATGAGAAATGCAGGGCTTCAGCGTCAGCTAAGAGATGTCATTAGTTCACCATCCTACAGTGACAAAAGCAAGCCGCTGGGCCTTCACAGAGCAGCAGTAAGTTATAGCACTGAAGAGAATTATCAGTCCTTGATTTTAGTGACCTCAGACTTTAATAAAGCAAATTCTGCCTTTAACTCTTAAAGGAAACAAGATGCATAGCACATGCTACATTACACACGCACAAAAGCCCATAATATTTACATATATCCATGGTATATACGGAGCTGTGAAGATTAGAAGTGAATTGTATTAATCCACTGATATCTTTGAGAGCATTTCTAATAGTGAGAAAACTGACCTCCCTGAAGAAAAGGCTTTGGCTTGCTGTAGGTTTGATCCTGTAACACTCAATTCAACAACAGCTTTGCCCTCAGTGTAAGTTTTGAAGGGCTGGGAGGCAAGCTGAGCCTATGCACGGTGGATGGAGCATGATACTGCTAACTAGTAAACAGTGCCACAGATCAGATTTTAAAAGCTTTTATTAAACAAAAAACCAAACAACAAATGTGTTAAAAGAACATTACAGTTCCAAACGGAAGCATGCCTGAAGCAGGGCTGCAGGAGAGACCAAAGCAAGCAAGCAACCTGCAATTCTTGAGCAGCCTGGTCTACAAAAATGGACTCCCATTCTGTAGCACTGTATTTGCTCATTTGTTGCTTTGCATGCTCCAATAAGCTAAACCATTCATACCCACAGAACCCTGTCCCCCTCTACAGGTAAGTACCACACACCCCAAAAATCTCTCCACTGTGCAATAACAAAGAGCCAACACCACATTTTGAGCAAGAAAAAAAGATTAAATTCATTATTGCCAACATAGGTAAAAATTTTACCTCTACTTTTGATATTTTAAGCCAAGTTTATGCAATAATACATAATTTCCAGCCAAGACCTGTCATCGAGTCTAGCACTGCAGTTCAGCACAGGAGGGTACTATGCAAGCTCTTAACAGTGAAACATCCTGACACCATTTAAGAAAACAGAATGCCATGAGCCAGTCTTTTTCTCTGCTGAGTAACGAGATGTATCAGACAGGCTTGGCACAGCCAGCCTCAGCGTACACAGTAAATCACATCTTTCCAGAAGATACAGCACTTAACAGAAGAGTGACTGAAGGCAAAGAAAAAAAAAACAGGCACCTAGGGGTTGTTTTGCTAAAACCATCCTATCTAGGCTGTTACCCTTTCACAAGGGATCTCAAAATAGGATACCTGGGGGGACACTGCAAGCTTTTACGTATGGTCTTGGTAGCTAGATACAGCTGGCAGGACTTTGGATGGGAACTTGTGCTCTGATCACAAGATTTTAACATATTTATTTGCAATCTCTGTCTGTACTCTGTTTCTCCTCCTCTTTACATTCAACTGAAAGAGATGTAGGGGAATAACACTACAGGGTTTCTTCACAGTCATGCAACACACACTCAGAGACAAGATGCAACACAGCATTTCGGAGTTCCAGTGCCCTTAAAACACTTCAGCCAAATCTTCATTATTTTGCATTCTGCAGTACCTCTAACAGATAATGGTGTTGAACAGAAAGCTATCTATAGGAATGAAAGCAATTGTAGGATTGCTTTACAAGAAATAGAGTTAAAAAATAATGCTTCCACAGTTTATCTTCTCTTTGTAGTTTCATCTGTTCTTACAATGTAGAGCTGAATAAACCATCCCAAAATATCCTGTTTTCCATATCTTATTTTAGGTAAGCTTTTCAAGTAAGCCGAGAAGACTGCATTCAATTCAGCCTTCACTTGCTACCAGCATCTTTGAAGATCAGACCTATACACTGGAGGAAAAACAACAACTAAAAAAACCTCTAGAACTTTTCCACACCGCAGCTTTTGTGGCATTTTAACTGCCTTTCTCAATTAAAGCAGAACAAACCCTTAAAACAGGATCTAACTCCACTGTTACAAGGAAGCTTATGAATTATGCACATAGGACCAACAAAACCACTTAAGGAAATCTGAGCTTTTAGCTTGATTTTACCTAGACACAAAATAGAAAACCCCAAATATCCTTCACCTTTATTGCATCTGTGCCCAATACTATCTGATGAATCAAGGATAAATTTATCTAACCATTTCAAGTGCTTTTACACTATCTGTCCACAACTTCCCACCCTGGATCCCGCTGGCTCTTCAAATGTTAACTTCCAGACAGCTGCTCTGATGTCTTTTCTCATCCCAGAAGTTCTAGCATCACAGCAGCATCACTGAGATTCAGCCACAGATTCTGCTCTCTTTTGCTCAATATTTCTGGCATGAAGACACCTTTGGAAGAGAATCCTCCCATTCCCTTCTCTTACACCTTTTCTTGTTTGTGATTAGTTCCACTAATGCTTGAACCAGATACATCTGCAGCAGAACCTACGTCATGCACATATCATAAGGATGTAGGAGACCTCCAATGAGAATCACTATGGCCACAGAGTACATACAAAAGGAGCACTGCAGGAACTAGAAATATTGCAGTGCTGCGAGCAAGAATCTTGAGGACATCCAAGGAACAAGTCAGTGCTCAAGAGCCAATAATGTGAAACCTACAGATGCAAATACCCAGTATTTCTTGGATTATGTAACTTCCCCTCCTGCATAAGCTCTTTCCTGTTTGGGACAAGCCTTTCTTCTAGTAACATCTAACCTCTACAGGTTGCAGCACCTACCCCTGCCATCCACAGCACTTATAAGACAAAGTAACACTAGTAAAACAATCCCAAACTGGAAGAAATACTAGCAACACTGGCCCGTATTTCAAGGTTGAGTCTTTGTATCAGAGACTATGGGCTACAGGATGACTGCTTGGTACATTTTTCCTGTACCTGTCAGCTATGCTAGCTTGATGCTTTTGGCTTAAACAGCAGCTGACTATCCATCTCACATGAGTACCCAACAAAAAGTTACGTAGGTGTGCTTGGGGAACCTTCTTCAAGCAGCGCACTTGAGCTATGGAGCACTAATCAGTCTGGATAGCAACAGAGCAGTGGCTTGAACCTGAAAGCAGTCCCAAAACAGTGTTCAGAGGCTTGTTGACTAAGGTTTTGCTGCCATCAGCACTCACCAGGAGACACTACTCCTTTGTAATGATATGCACAATATAGATCCCCCCAGGAATATTTACTTGAATGAACAGCTCCTCATATACCCCCCTTTAACCAGTGCCTGTCACATGCCACTGACTCCAGAAATGTATTTCCCAGTATTCAACAGCTGCTGGAGAGCAACAAAAACTGGAATCAGAGAAGTATGAGCAGTAGCAGCCTCTGCTTCTCCTTACCCAAAGACAGGTGGCAGAACAAATCTTTTCTTCACAGGCCGACTTGCTTCAACTATCCAGTATCAATGCAGGACTGATGGCCTTACACTAGATGTCTCCAGGGTTTGTGCATCTCTTCTCCAGGACTCCTCTGACAAAGGGCTGAGGAAATCCCAGAAGTCCTCACGAAACACACCTGTAAGCATTTTGAGTTTGGCAAGGAAGGAAGGTTTTGCGTTTTACCTGTTAAGACTGTGTTCTTTTAGACAAGTTGGTGATGACCTATGGCCACATACACCAGCTGTACACTAGCCTATGCCAAACTCTATGGCAGCAGATCCGTGACAAATGGGATTACTACCAGTCTAAGGATAAATTTAGGGAGGAAAAAGTCCCTGGAGGAGCATCAGATAAAAAATCCCCCATCATCTGAGTGCAGGATATCCTGAGCTGCTGATTGCCTGAAGCTGGGATTGTACCTTGAGACAGTACTGCCACCTTACTGTACTTTTCTTGCTGCATTTCCTAGGCACTGGGTATTGACTACTGATGGAGACAGGGCACTGCAGAGAGAGATCCTTTGTTTACCCAGTATAGCTATCCTCATGTTCCTCTGCAGTTGCAAGGATCCTTACTTCAACAGTTTCAGTTTAGGATACCACCACACCAGCCGTCTTCCTCTGCCTGGAGCCTTCTTAACTATCCTCTCCTCCACCTTTAACACAAGCCTGGCACAGCCAGATATTATTTCACTCTAGTGGAATCTGCAGCTGTTCTGAAGAATAGGTCACCCTTATCTATCCCCTCCTCTGGCAGGTCTTGGGCACCAGGCTTTAGCAAACTGCATGTTACCCCAAGCCAACCATCATAGGCAGCTGGGCAGACCATTACTCTTTTACAGACAAGGAATAACAAGCAGTCAAAGCCGGGAATAGAAGCCCATACATACTCCTGGCAGGTATTCCAGACTGCACAAGGGGCAGCAAAGTTGCATAGGGACATTTGGTTATCTCCCAATAGAAATCTTTAGTTTCCATACCTGGAATTAACTTGCAAATTCATAGTAACCAGATGCATGCAACACTTCACAGTGCGAATTCTCTGCACTAGTTTACCTGGCCATTTGGCAAGGCTGACAGGGCAAAAGGATGCTGTGTCAGTATAGCTACAGCCACTCTAGGGAATTAAACCAATTGAAGTACTTCAACATAAAGGGTATAAACCCTAGCAGAAATACTGGGTAAAATATGCAAAAATACCCCAAAACTTATTTCGAAAACAAAGCATTCACTTTTTTCAGCAGG